TGAAGTTTTGAAAGCCCAATTACCTTAATTATAGCTCTAGGTAATTAATTTTGGTGAATAAACCATGTTAATGTAAAGTTGTATACTTTGTTCCAGTACTGAAAAATTGCTGCTGCATTTTGCCTTAATTCCATCTCATTAATGTGGTCATACTGAATCAGCGAGAATAAATAGTGTGCTTAGGAATCTGGAATACATTCTAGCTTGTTATCCTCACTCAGAAAGTTAAGGCACTTTTTTTCAGAGACAGGGTCTTGCTCTGTCACCCAGGTCAGAGTGTACAATGACCCGATCAATCATAGCTCACTGTAACTTCATACACCTGGGTTCAAGGGATCCTCCTGCCTCAGCCTCCCAAGGTGCTGGGACTATAGACACACATTCCGACACCTGGCTATTTCTTTCCTTTTTTAGTAGAGATGGGGTCTCACTATGTTGCTTAGGCTGGTCCTGAACTCCTGGCTTCAAAGGATCCTCCCACCTTGGCCTCCCAAAGTGCTGGGATTACAGGTGTGAGCCACTGCACCTGCATGTTTACTGGCTGGTTTGCCATTTAAATTTTCTTTGCTCAAATCTACCATATTCAATAATGATTTCTGTAGAGTAATTCTTCCTGAGAATCATGCAGTTCTGGGGAGAGTTTACACCTTCATTAAAGAAAATTTAAATTTATGTTTCTGTACTGGTGTACTGGTCCTTCCATTTCTCTTTCTCTCAAGTTCCCAATTAGCCTTGGATTCCTGCAGAGGTAGATGGGGGCTCCTTGAGGGCAGTGATGGGAAAGATCCTTGCTCTTCTTTTTTGTTGCTGGTTTTTTTTTTTTTTTAATTTAAGATTTCTTTTTCTTAAATCCCCTTATCTTCTAAGAGATCCATGCCCTTGTTGACAAAAGAATTCTGTCACGTTAGAGCTGAGAGGCACCTTAGAGATCATTCAGTTCAGCCCATTATGGTGACACTGGGCCCAGAAAGTACAAGTGCCTTGCCCATGGTCTCGTAGCCTGTCTGTGGTTAATCTAGGGATGGAACCGATGTCTCCTGATTCCAAAGCCAATGATCTTTGCAGTATTTCAAACTCCTTTTATAAATGCCCGAAAAAGTCTTCTATTCCATACTAAAACCTAAGAATTTAAGGGAAGGACCTTGAGAAAGGTGATGCACTAGGCAGCTTTCTGGGAAACAGCTGACACAGGCTCACTTTCTGAGGCCTGGGGGAGCGACAAAAGAGGAGGAAATCCCTAGACCTGTGCTTCTCCAACTAGCTCAGTGAAGAGACCAGATTTGGTTTTGTTTTTATCCTTTTTCAATTTCTAATCTATTGCAAACTGATGGTTTTGTGAAGTACAATAAAAATGAGGTGGCATTGTCTAATTGCTATAAAAGTTTCTAAATATTCTCAATTTCAGTTCTTGTCTTGTCACAGCCCTGCAGCCAGCAGCTTGAGGACTGGCCACAGTCTGGAAACTACACTTGGAGCAGCATGAAGTCCACAGACTGGTGTTGGCATGAAGGATGCAAAACCAGGAGGCCGGAAGCTCCAAGGACCACCCTGGGGAAACTTGCTGGTGGGCTCCTATGGTGCCCAGGGCCCCTCAGTGAACCCTTAGCAAATGGAAGAATGGCCAGGGCCACACCTTTGGCTCTTCCGACTGCAGTGCCACTGCCTCCAGCAGGACCCTGAAGCCTCTGACAATGAATGTCAAGAGGGCTTTTCACAGGTCACCTGCTTAAAATAGTGTTTCTACCAGAAAGGAGGCCCAGTTTCATCTTAAGGCAATTAGCACTACCTGTTGCATTGCTACCTTATAACCTTCTTAAAAATGTAAGTGCTCTCTGGCCAAGGCTCAGCTTGCAGACCTCTGAAGGACCGGGCGTGAATATAGGATCCTGACACCGTGAAACAACAGGGACAGGAGTTGAAATGACAAGAACCTTAGACTTTGAAGAACCTAGAAAGACCATTTGCCTCAAGCCTGAGTTAGCTTAACCAAGTCTTTTTTAAACCAAAGCAGAGCCCTGGTGAGCACAGCCCCATTGTGCAAAGAAAATCGGGGAGACAAATGAAAATGGTTGAAAATAAGCTTTGTAGAGTAGAATCCCAGTTGCATCCAGCTAAAGGCCAGACAGAAGCACTAGCAGGAAATCCCACACTGCCTCTCATACCAGATCCTACCTCCCCCAAAACGTAAGCACGCTTCTTTAAAAAAATGGTTTATTTAGGAATAATGTCAGACTTACAAAAAGGTGCAAAAATATTACAAAGAATACCACCATATTAATCTATTATGATAATTTTGCCCCATTTGAATCATCACACATATTCTCTCTCTGTGTCTGTATATATATTTTTTCTGAACGATTCGATAGTAAGTTGCATGCACCTTGCCCTTTTCTCCTGTGTGCTGCAGTGTACATTTCCTAAGGACAAAGATATTCTCTTATAGAACTACAGTACATTATCAACCACAGTAAATTTAATATTAATATAACAACTTAATCTAACCGACTCAATTCCAATTTGTCAATTGACCCAATAATGCCCCTTTTTCCTCCATCCAGAACAGATCCTTGGCACCTAATTGTCATGTCTCTTTAGATTTATTAACATTTAATGTGGAACAATTAAAGACCAGTTTTATTTTGATGAATGCTATTTGCAATTAAAGAACCGAGAGACAGTCTTAAAGGAATAATACATGGAACTATCAGGTGTATGGGGGGCGGGGGTCTTCCTTAGTTGCCATCTTGGGTTTTGAGGGCATAGTGTTCTGTTTTCATAAGATTCTGTTTTAATGAGGTCCTTCTGGTGCTCCCAGGACTAAAACCTTCCTGGTGTGGTCCTGGAGTGTATCAGGTTCCACACTGTAGTGAGGTCCTCCTCAATTTCCTTCATATTTGACCAACCTTGGAGTAGCCAAATTGGATGCAGAGGTGTGATGGAATAGCAGCGAGACCATGGCAGCTAAGTAACCAGATTCAATCACTACGCGCACTTATTGGCACACATCTTAATTAGGTTTTAATGCAAGTAATTTGATAACAACTCCTGGCCATCCACTACAGAACTGTCAATGCCGAAAGCTTTTTATTTAGTTCCTCTTCTGTCTATACCAAGGCAGCCTCCCTGCTGACCCTTGTCAAAGAACCCCATCTGCTGGTTGCCACGGTAACTGAAGGCGACCAATTGAGCTGAACAGAGTGACTCAGAAATAAAATCTGCAGCCAAAGGAATTCTGCAAAGAGTAATAAATCATTTAGTAAAAGGGGGTCCTCCACACAGTGATGAGTGTTGGGATAATATGATGGCATAACTCTTCCAGCTAGAAGGTCCATGACAGATCAGAGTGATTAGGCCTGCTGGAGGGCTCGTTTGGTTTCGAGTGGGCTCCGGCAGCAGGAGAGACGGAGCCTGCCCAGTTGTGTGCCACCGCGGGGAAGAATGAATGAGGCTAAGTCAATTTTTTAATATTTGGGCTGCAAAATTTTGATTTTTAAGGAGTGGCAAGAGAACCAGTCTAGGCTTCCAACACTCCTTACGCTATTTTTTAAAAGTGGCACAAGTTAACAGGAAGCTTCATGTAGCTCAGGAAACCATCATGGCCTTGAGGAAGGTGGCACAGAAAAAATATTAAGATTGTTCTGGAGTATGCCAGTTTAACACATCTCTCTGTCATCAGTCAACTTTTAGGGGTTCCAACCAGAAACCATCTATGTGCACAAGACTTGCAGTCCTTGAAATAGAGGGGGAGAGCCTGGAATTCAACTCCTTCAACTCAGAGGGCCCAGAGTAGCACTGCAGGATGGTCTGAGAGGGGTGCAAGGGCTTTCTCTCTCCACAGGACTTGGTGAGTGTTCCTTACAGAGCAAAACACACATCTTTCCTAAGTTAAGATTTCCTGAATAAGATGGCGGAAGAGGAAAGGAAGGAGGGACCTTTCTTGGGGTTGCTCTGGGTGACAGCAGGCAGCACACAGCTGCCCCAAGCCCCTCACAGCACAGGCAGTTCCAAGTCATGGCCCCAGCTCCTACTGAGCACCTGCTGTGTAGACAAGGAAACCTCTGCAGGCATCAGTGCCCAGATTTTAAAAAGAAAACCCCCGACATTCTAAATCATCCACACAGCATTTAACCCCTGTGTGCCAGTCCCTTGGTGGTTGTGTGGGGGAAGGAAAGCACAGCAGCAGTGGAAACAACTGCCCTGAGAGCAAACGACGAGAGAGGCTATCGGCAGAGGCCTTAGGGCCTGTGTTTAGAGGCAGCCCACCCTGCCAGCCCCCTCCTGCCAGACTGAATGCCACCTTTTTAAAAGGTGCATGAGCAAGATTCTGACCTTCTCCAAACCCCTGACCCACATGGCAATGTGAGTACCCTGTGCACTAAGTCATCCCCGGAGATAATTTTCTGCTTCAGAAAGGAGCAACTGCCAAACAGAAGGTAGATTCCGCCCCCCACCCCATCCCTAAATGCTGCCAGTAAAATGCTTTAGTCTTAGTTGTAGGGAAATTCCGTCGTCGGAGTTAGGGAGCGACGGTGTACGCTCAGGACGAACCTCTCGCTGTCCTCCGCGTGCGCGGCGGGTTCGCGGCTTCGGAGAGCGCCGCACGCAGAGCCCTGCAGCGCCGCGCCGGGACGCCCGCCCTGTCCCACCCTTGCTAGGCAACCGTGCTTCTGCAGGCCTGACAAACACCGACCCCAGGGCTCCACGTGCGCCTCCCGCACGCCAGCACCCGCCCTCTCCCGGGCCTGCTCGGAGCGCGCTGCCGGAGGGAGGCGCCCCTTCCCTCTCCCTCCGCGGGCAGGGCGGCCTCGGGCGCCAGCTCCCGGGTCGCAGCGCAGGGCAGCGGCCTCCGCGCCCACCCCAAGCTCCCGCTGCGTCGCCTCTGGACGCACGGCCGGCTCGGCCGAGCTGCCGCGCCCCGCGGCCCGGAGCCCCGCACCTGCAGGGCGGCGGGCGCGGGCGGGGCGGCGGGGTGCCGAGCATCTGGCTCGGGACTCCGCGGGGCGCGCGGGCCCTCTGGACTTTGGCAGAAGGAGGGATTAAACCGCGAAGGCGGTGGAGAGGAGATGGGTGAAAGCTTCATTAACTCCGTGCTCACGTCCCAAGTTCTTTCCCTCCAGAGAAGCAGTGAGAAAAAAGGTTGATTTCCCTGCGATGGGAAAGGTGCTGCCTGATTGTGTTTGCTTTTCTTACCTTTTATTTCTTATAGGTAAACAAATAAATGAATCATTGTTTGTTGATGATCATGGAGGACTCAGATTTTAATTAAACAGTATAAAAAAACCTTGGCTAATAGGCCAAAGAAATATTGCCACCCGTTTTAATGTCTATGTTAGTGATTAAGCTTCTTATGTGATTTAATTGGAACTGGCAAGGATCTTATGAACTCTAGGAAGTGAACATAAAAAGGTGCTGGTCTCCCCCGCTTCCATAACCAATCTGATTTAAGATCAATCCTAAAAGGTGGCATGGAAAACAGGACTTCCTGATTCCATAAAAATATTTCCCCCTTTCCTCACTCAGTACTTGAATTCCCTCCCCCTCTTTACAAAGTTACCATTATTAGTTTCACTTCTAAGCCCCACTTCCAACGCTTTGTCTCTGCTCACTCTCCCGATTTCTCCTCCATATTTCAATTCCCAGACACTCTTGAACTTTTGCACACGCTGCCAGTTTGAGCCTGCATAGAATAATCAGTATATTAATTCCACTCAGAGACAGTGAGATTTTTCTAACACAATCTGCCCAACCTGAACTCTTTCCTTCAGAAACACTTTGCCTTTAAAAAGAAACTCCCAGCATGAACCTCATAAGAAGCGACATGTAACAGACAGTGCATGTGGCGCTGGGCATGCAGCTCAGAATTAAAAGAGAATTTTTTACTTTGTTTCTTCAGTGCCATGTGCATAATGTACATGTGGATGAAACTGACATCAGACATTTAAAGCAAAAGGGGGAGGGGGAGGGGATGTGATGGTGGCGGGAAAGAGAGAGAAAATATGTTGATAAAAACAGTAACTTCTGTTAATCTACATTTTTCAGTCACTGTCTTAATTAAGAATGTTAGGAAATATGTTACAGTTTAATTGCATTGTTTCAAGAAATTCTAAGGCTGACAAATTTGGGACCATGTACACTTGGAAGGTAAAAGGGATTAAAGTGGTAATTTCTCCCAATTGGTAGATAACAATCAAAATTATGTTTTCTACAGACGATCCCCCCCAACACACACAGATCCTAAACTCAGAAGACAAAGAAAGGATATCCTAACACTTAACATGTTCAGCATGAAATGAGCTCTGGAAAAAAAAGTGTTTTAAACCTATGTATATGAGACAAGAATAAAATTTGAAGTACAAATACAAAGGATTCACAAAAATGAAATAGTACTTTATCTGAAATTTCTGGGTCACATCTTATCCTTGTAGAAAATAGTTATTTATGAAGGAAGTCGGTAACAGTCTTCAAATGATTTTCAGGTGACCTTGTTTAAGATAGTAAAAATCGTTTGCCTGAGCCACAAGTCCACAGCAATGATAACAGTTTGAAGACATTCAGATTTCTAGTCTCTGTGCCCTTTTCTCCTACTTGAGCGCAGGAACACATTCTCTAGGTTTCATTTCTCCTTTTAAGAAAGACTTTGCATTGTTATGCAGCAGACAAATTAAAATGTATTTTCATTGCTCAAAGTACCTTTGACAGAAGTTGTAATTGGTGGGATAGCTTCCTGTTTCCTACAGGTGACCACAGGTAACTCATTGTTCATCTAGATGCTGCATTTCTTGAGCCCATTTTGGGAGTCTGGGCAGTTGAGTCACTGCCTGTGAGAAAGGAGGTAGTAAGTCAGATGCTCCCGTAGGGTGCAGCATAAACCAGATACTGGCCTCTTCCTCCATCCCGGCACTTAAACACACACACACACACACACACACACACACACACACACACACACACACACACACACACACCAGGTGATGAGCAGCTACTCTCACTGACTCCTTCATTCAAACTAGTTTGATGATTTGGTCAGATAAATTGACCAGTTCTTTGACTGAATCAACTAGCCATTTTATCTTCCATTAACCACAATTTATGATACACCTGGAACCGCAGAGACAGTTATCTTTCCCAGTGAGGAGGCAGACCTAACTTTTCTAGCAGCTAAGGATACTGCATTGCACGTACAATGGCCCTAAAACAACAACAAAATAAGAACTGTTTGACCTAAAATGTAGCTCAAATGTCCAAAGAGCTTTCCTAAGAGAACAAACTTGCCAGGTCTGTTCTAGCTGGGAGGTCTGACCACTTATTCTGCCTCCAGCCTCTCACAACAATAATAGCCTGAGAACTTGACCGCAGCTGAAAATTGCCAATGTGCTGCTAGTATCACAGTGTTTCAATTCTTAAATTTATATACTATTTAAATTTTGTAGAGAGTAGAATCCTGAGATCTCAAATTGCTGGTAAATGGCATGTGTTACATCATAGTTCAGTAAGTGCACAGCTAAGGAATTAGTGTGTGTGTGTGTGTGTATTTTTTTTAATGCCACACAGGAGGTCTAAAATAATGAAGGGACATATCTCTCATGTGCTCAACACCTGGGACCACATAAAGCTCTTAACTGATTCACTAAGAAATGAAAGATTTTCCATCTCCTGGGGTTTCTGGGAATTCTAGTGGGTGGACACATCCCCCCAAATAGCTTGGCCACCTTCCTGAAAAAGGAAAAAATGCCTTTGTCTGGGGGCAGGGAAGGATGCTGTGCTGAGCCTGGACCCCTGTGGAGGACCCTGGCATTATTCACTACCAGGTGAGGGAGAGAGAGGAGAGTTCAGGCAGACAGAAACCAGGAGCATAATTATAAGTTGAAAAGTTCTGAGTCAAGTCTCCGAGTTTGAAGAACATTAAAAGAAGAATACATAATACTGGGGGGAAAGGGAAGCAGTACCCGCCCGAGGGCCAATTGCCTCTCCAGCAGCGGCAAGGCTGTTCCCGGGCTCACAGGACCATTTGTTCCATTACACAATCTCCTGAAGCCATTTAGAGAGAGCTCAAACAACTGCCTGTACCAACACGACACATGGCTTCCCATCCCGACTCTTTGCTAATCCAGACGCTCCAACCATCTTTCCTTAAGATGCCATATGGTTGGCAGAAGCCTGTAGATCTAGCAGCACATCTGCTTGTACGTTTCTTCTTCCCTCCATCCCCCCAACAAAAGAGGGATAGAGAGGCAGACCGAGAGGGAGAGGAGAGGATGCTTGTATACCCCTGCCTATATAGCTCTCTATTTTCTGTGAACAAAACAAAACAATTAAAGGGCTGACTGGGAATTACTCAGGGCTCGATCATTTTTTAACTAGACAACATGATGATTTTTTTTTTTTTTTTTTGCGTGTTGATTTAAAAGAGGATTAGAAAAACAAAGGGTGGATAGTCGCCTTTTCCCAAAAGGTGATTACTTTAACACCACTTCAAGCTCTCTCTCTGGGAATCCTTGAGATGCTTTCTTGCTACAGGGGAGGGACAGCACCCTGGCCTGAAGCAATTTCTTCTCTTCTTTTCGGTCAAGGAAGACAGACAAGCTGAGAAACTAGTAGATACCGGAGCCTGCTTTGTTAGCAAGCACAGCACGGCTGTATGCTAATGAGTCGGCACCGACACAGGGCTTTTTTGGTATGATGAGCAAAGATTGTTGACACTGTTGAAATCCTGGCTCTCCTGGCCTGTGAGCACACGGGCTGCCTCCTTGGAATCTGGCCCCCAGTGAGACAGGCTGCAAAAAAATAATACATTCTACTCTCCTGATGACTGAAATCTGGCCATTTTCACTTAGAGCAGTTGGGGGCTGGGGGGGGTGGCATAAAAGAAATGATCAGGCCACTGGTCAAAAAAACACAGGTGAAAATTAGGGATTTCTTACAAACTAAAAGAACTAAAAATTAAAACCTGGTAGACACATGTGAGTGGGGAGGCCAGGATGCTGGCTTTAAGAGCAAAAACCCAAAAAGGCAGGTGAGGGGGTTATTATGCTCAGCCACATCGGGGGCAGCTGGGACGTTTGCTGCACATCTGAGCTGACAGCACTCTGCAGATGGGACAGCCTCATTGATGGTCTCCTCTCAGTACAGGTGAAAAGCTAAGTGTCTGGTCTCCTTGTAAATTTGTACCTTGTGCTGATTAATCAGACATGGTTTTCCACAAGTGTAGAAATGTGGTACACCAAAAAAGCAAAGTAAGTATTGTACTATGGTTAAAGTAGACTTTTTTTAAGACAAAGAAGGGTGGGAAGGAAAGTCACACGTTTGGAGTATTGTGCACATTATCTGAAAATCCCTTTACTTGCCCAGAAACTCTCAGAGATGCAGACTATTATTCCAAGTCAATAGATGAGGAGACTAAGGCTTAAAGATTAAAAAAAAAAAAAAAAAAGCTTTAGCAAAGCCATGCAGCTAGGAAGGGGCTAAACTGAAAAGCCCATGCCTATCTCCCCACATTACAGTAGGTTCCAGATGCACACATACACTTGTACTCAGTTACATTACTTCATGAATATGCCCAGGGTCCAATATGCCAATCTGAGCAGATCACTGTTAGCTGGAGAGCAATAAGCTAGTTATCATTAGTATGCAGGCAGGGGCATCAAATTGTAAATTCAGTTTATTTGTAATCCACAATATGAATGAAAATTCATGTAACTGAAATGTAAAAACATGAGGAGTGACTTAAAAAGCATTGAAAATTATAATAAAAAATCAGAATTTATCCATTCAAAAGAGTATGCCTTTCAAATTATTCACCTTGAGCAACATATGTATTTCAACCACACTGCCATTGCCTAGGACTTTGCTGACATGTTCTTTTCTGGGGGAAAACTGCCTTTATAGCCTAGGGCTTCATGATGCAAATATCTGTCTTTTGTGTGTAGATACACACGCAGGTTTGTGAACGAGTATGTATTAAGTGCATTTCATCAAAATCATACATTTTAATATAAAATACATGCAGTGGATGCTATACTACTCAAAGATGACATATCAGTCCAAACTAGATACTATTAGCCCAGTTCTATCATCAATAAAGTCTATAAACTATTACTAAAGATTCTTATGGTTATTATCATTGAGATGTGGCTATGCAGAATGACAAATTTGAATTTAAAATAAAATGGCTCTGGGTTGAAATCTGAACATTATCCTAAATAAATTTTTGTAAGTCTGTTTCTCCAGATCTAATATAAAATCATACTAGCCACCTCACAGGATTGTTGTGAGAACTAGAGATAGTGTGTAAAGTGACTGGCACTTAGTAGGTCCTCAGTAAATGAATATATAATCATTATATTTTAATAGAGTGCTTAAGAGCATGTATGCAGTGCTTTTCACATACATTAGCTCATTCAACTATGGAACATAGCTCTGTAATGTAGGGAGTGTTTCTTCTAACAAATGAGGTGATTGAGTTTCAATAACAAAAATAACTAGAGCAATAAACAATATGTACTGAGTCCTTTCTATGTGACGTTACTATACTAAGTACTTTTCCAGCCATTTTTAAATCTTAACATCAACCCTTTGAAGAAGGTATTATTGATACTATTATGATCTTCATTTTTTGGACAAGGAAACTGAGGCAAAGAGATGCTACCAATATCTTGCCAAGTTCACATAGCTAGTAAGTGGCAAAGCTGGAACACAATCCCAGGTCTGTCTCCTAAACCATGATCCAGCAATGGCTGTAAAATAGTGAAGACAAGACAAAAAGGCAGATATCTCTATTTAAAATCCTGTCCCCTTTGTCTAGACCACATTTTCCTTAGGTAGAACTTACCTAAAGCTACTGGGCATTTGACAAGAAAGTTTCCTAGCACAAAAATCCTTATCCTTACCAAATTTCTGTGTATGCTACCAAATTCTTTTTTTTTTTTTTGAGACAGAGTCTCGCTTTGTTGCACAGGCTAGAGTGAATGCTGTGGTGTCAGCCTAGCTCACAGTAACCTCAATCTCCTGGGCTCAGGCAATTCTACTGCCTCAGCCTCCTGAGTAGCTGGGACTACAGGCATGCACCACCATGCCCGGCTAATTTTTTTCTCTATATATTAGTTAGCCAATTAATTTCTTTCTATTTATAGTAGAGATGGGGTCTCACTCTTGCTCAGGCTGGTTTCGAACTCCTGACCTCGAGCAATCCACCCTCCTCGGCCTCCCAGAGTGCTAGGATTACAGGCGTATGCTACCAAATTCTATAGAGTTCCATCATTCAGGCATCATATATATGTTTATACATACTCATATACAGCCTGAATGCTGGGTGCTCACGTAGCATAGTTAAAAATTAAGGCAGTGTTCTTTATAAGATGGCAGGACATGACATATGCATTTGAATGCATTACACACATAAATACACACCAACAAAGCTGTCATTATATATTTGGAATCTGATTTAATATCACTAAAATTGTCAGAAATTTCTTATCAAGAGAATAGTCTTTCAATAAAAATGAACTATCAATAGAAGGCTTCCAAATCAAAATTATTTGCAAGGGATGCTAGAACATTTGGAGGTTGCTGATCAGATGCTGACATGAAGAAATGTAAACGGGTGTAACTAAAATCTGGATTTGTGGTGCACATATGTGCTTAACCAGACAACTCTCTCCAAATAAAGCCACTGAGCTTCTCTTGTGAACTCGTCTCTTGCTTCTGATGTAAGGAGACAAAGATGCTATAATCTCAGGTGGGTTTTTCTCTCTCACTGTGTTTTCTCCCTGCCTGTAGCTCCCTTATCTGGCTGGGGCTGGACTGGTTTCCGTAAGCCAAG